TCACTGCAGATTGGAAAGTGCTTGATGGAGAAAGGAGTTGTGTCATTGTTGGAACATGGGTGGGAGCCAGGCGCAAATGAGACTACATCTTCCCATCACCTCGCTTTCTCCTCTGATGGATGGGACAATGCTGACTGCAGAGAGCCTGGACACCATCTTTCTTGCAGGGACTGAGTTTCATCAGTGAACCTCATGGTGGTGGATTCTAGGATGGCCAGACCTTAGAAGGTGGAAATATCTGAGGAAGTCACAGCCCCAGGTATCCCTAGTTGCATCATAGACCTTTTAATCCTTCAAGGCCAACCTAACACACTCAGGCATGAACATGATTCTGGACATGCATTTGCAAATGATCGGGAGTTAGTTACAAATTTGTCACCCACTCAGTTCTGTGAACTTGAGCTAGTCATGTAATTTCATTTTGTTTTATTTCTAAAATTCATTTAACAAGGCTTCTGGGAAGATGGCAGAACAGTAAACAGCAACAAATCAACCTCTCCAAGATTTGGAATCCAGACACTGGAAAATAACCACTTGGGAAAGAAAAGAAAGAGGGAGGTGGATCCCCAGGACCCAGGAAGTATCTGAAGGGAAAATTGGAGTCCATAGAGAAAGCAAATTGACAGACCTCAACACAGAAAAAAGGAGGGGGCAAATTGCACTTTCTCCCTGGTTCCTGGCTGATAGTGTGAGAGAGGAAGATTAAATCTGGAGATACAGTAGGGCAAGTGACTCCAGAGGCCTCCAGGAAGAAATGCATGTGTGGAAGGAAGCAGTGGATACTGTGTGGTATAACAGCAGGCGAGTGTCTCTAGTCCAAGTGACTGCCATGTCCCCTGGACACCATTTTAGGTAGAGGCCAACTGAACCCAGGACTTAGAGCAGCTGTGGGTTGGTTTCATCTCAGGGCTCCCAGGGTTAAAATCCCACAGTGACTGGGTGAGGGGCAAGTGTGGGAGACATCCAGGGTCAGGGAACCATGGTCAGGGCAGCAAGAGACACCCAGAATGTTGTAAGCTGAGCAACTCAGGCCCCAACCCCACAACCAGAGGCCAGGATCAGCCTGAACTGTGGATTTGAAAGTACCAGAACCTGCACCCTTCGCTAGTCCTACTGCAGGCTTGCTGGGATTATCCAGGATGGATCTGGGCTCTGACTGCCTCCTTGGACTGCCAGCAAGAGCAGAGTCACACCCTGAATTGGACACTGCTGCAAAACTGTAGACCCCAGAAGATGCTACAGGTTTGAAATCACAGAGAAATTTCTTTCTTTTTTCTTGGCTTTTGGTTTTTAAAAAATCGCTAGTTTTGTTTTTTCATAAGTGTGAATATTACTTTTAGCTTTTCTGTTTTACTCTTGTTGTTGTTTCTTCTTCTTTATTTCCCTCCTATCTTCTTCACCAGTTTCCTGAGGCTTGGATAGTCTTCTTTTGTTCTCAGTCTTACTTTTAATCTCTTTCTCCTCTTTTATTTCTCTATTTTTCCTCTTATCCCTTTTAAATTTTCTCCCCTTAGGGTAAAATTGCTCTACTGAGTGGATATTTACTATACATAATATTATGCTCAGTCTTGGATCTTGTTATATAACTATAAATCTTCTACCTATGTTTAAAGGTGGCAAATTAATAGTTATCACAGTTTGTCATTTGGAAACCATAAATGCTCCACATAGAAAAGAGCTGGGTTCCATAAAATAGACTCAAGTAGAAATCCAGGAGATTAAAAATTCTACTGAAAGTGTACACGGCAGGTTCAACCAGTGTGAAGATAGAATATCAGATCCAGAAGACAGGGTTGTGGTTGGTGGTCATCAAATGAAATACTTCTTAAGAATAGCAAGGGACCATGAGAAGTCAATCCAACAGCTGCTAGATGATGCAAAGAAGACTAATATAAGATTAATTGGAATCAATGAAAAATCAGAAGATAGCACGAAGGGGATAAAAAACCTGTTCACAGAAGTAATAGCAGAAAACTTTTCAAGAATGGAAAGAGAACTTGAGATACAGATATGTGAGGCAAATAGACTCCAAATAGTCATGATCAGAAAAAATGACACCAAGGAATATAATAGTCAATATTCCAGAAACTCAACACAATAACAGAATATTAAAAGCTGTTAGAGGAAAGAAAGAAATCACCGGTAAAGAAAAACCCATCAGAATCACAGCAGAACCAATACAGTGGAAATGGCCATACTTCCAAAAGTGTTATACAGATTTAATGCAATCTCAATTAAAATACCAGTAGCATACTTCACAGAACTACAGAAAACAATCTTAAAATTCATATGGAACCAGAAGAGACCTAGAATTGCAAAAGCAATTCTGGGCAATAAGGGCAAGGCAGGGGCATCACAATCTCTAATCTGATGTCATACTACAAAGCTACTGGGATAAAAATGGCACGGTACTGGCAAAACAAAAACAAAATAAAATATCCAAAGAAACCACCCCCAAAAGACCCCCCAAAATAAAATAGACTCAAGGATCAATGGATAGAATAGAAGAGGCAGAATCAACTCCAAGCACACTCAGTCACCTTATCTTTGACAAAGGAGCCAAACACCTCCACTGGAGGAAAGATAGCCCCTTTAATAAATGGTGCTGGAAAAACTGACTTTCTACATGATGAAGACTGAATCTAGACCCATGTCTCTCACTATGCACTAAGCTAAAATTGAAACAGATCCAAGATCTAAACATAAAAACAGGAACACTTAATCTCCTGGAAGATAGAATAGGTAAACTCTACAAGATATAAGTATAGACAAAGACTTTGTCCAAAACCCCTATTACGCAGGCAATATTACAAAGAATCAACAGCTGGGATCACATCAAATTAAAAAGCTTTTGCAGAGCAAGAGAAACCACCAACAGAGTGAAGGGACAACCCACAGAATGGGAAAAATTTTTTTACCAGCTACTCCTCAGACAAAAGACTAACATTTAGAATATATAACGAACTCAAAAAAATCAGACTCCACCCAATTTAAAGACCCAGTCCAAAAATGGGCATCTGAAATGAATAGATACTTCTCTGGTGAAAAAATACAAACAGCAAATAAATACATGAAAAATGCTCAACATCACCGGTTCTTTCAAGAAATGCAAATTAAAAAACCACTGAGATTCCATCGCACTCCACAGAGAATGGCTATCATAAAAATATCAACCAATAACAAATGCTGGAGAGGCTGTGGGGAAAAAGAAACACTTCTCTATTGCTGTTGGGAGTGTAAACTGGTGCAACCACTGTGGAAAGCAGTATGGAGATTCCTCAAAAACTGTAACTAGAGGTTCATTTGACTCAGCTTTTCCTTTTCTAGGTATCTTCCCAAAAGAGTTAAAGTCATCATACCATCATGATACATGCATCCTCGTGTCTATAGTAGCATAATTTATAATAGTTAAATCTTGGAAACAGCCCATGTGCCCATCAAAGGAGTATGGATAAAGAAAATGTGGTATTTACATACCATGGAGTACTACTCTACCATAAAGAAGGATACATTTGAGTCATTTGTAGGAAAATTAGTGCACCTTGAGACATAATCTTAATGAAATAAATCTGACACACAAGTTTAAATATTGCATTGTTTCTTTTGTGTGAGACACCTAAAGTGTAAATAAGGAGCATAATGGACAATAGATATTGAAAAGTAGAAGGAATATGTTCAAATGGGACGGGGAACAAGGGAGGAGGGAGAGAGAAGGGAAGGAAAGAAAAAGAAAAAAAAAAGAATGGAAGCAAAAAATAGAAACAAAGCTTTTGTAAGTGGCAAAAAAAGGATTGAAGGGAGGGGAGAGAAATTGGAAAAAGAGAATTAAGATATATTAATTGATGAATGGGATCGATATATGTGACAAATATTTACCAATAAAAGATTAAGTTAAAAATAAAATTCATTTAACAAAGGTTAATATAATTTAAAAATAAGTGTTGTACAGATGGACGGATATGGAAAAGGTGATATTTGTATGCAATTATTTTTTTGTTTTTGTTTTTTTTTCTCGGTACCAGGGATCAAACTCAGGACCTTGGGCTTGTGGGGTAGGCGTGGTGCCACTGAGCTAAATTCCCAGCCCCTTGTACCTAATTATACTCTGCCACCAAGAAGGATAAACTCAAGTCATTTGTAGAAAAATGGATCCACCTTGAGACCATCATGTTAAGTGAAGTAAGTCAGACACACAAGCTTAAATATGGCATGGTTTGTCTTATATGAGAAATGAAATATATAACTAAAGTGCAAAATAAGAATTCAGACATTTTGGGCCAGGGATTTAGCTCAATGGTTTCGCTGCCTGCTGCACAAGTGCAAGGACCCGAGTTCAATCCCCAGTACCAAAAAAGAATTCAGATAGTTTGAAAAAAAGAAAAAAGTTATTGTAATTCAGCATGATCAATGTATCTAAAAGAGTTCCTTGATTTAGTATAATTGCCTTCTGTGTTTTATATGTTTTTTGGTCTGTAAGTCTGGCTGTTAACCTATTTTTATAATTCATTTGATAAAGACTTAGAAAATAAATAAATGAATCTGATGCTGACCAAAACAAAAAAGGAAAAGGCAGTTTAAAAAAAAGAGTAGAGGTAAATGGGATGTTTAGAATTGACATGTGCTATGTTCATGTACCAACTCCCCACTGTGAATGTAATTATTTTGTACTGCAAACATGTTCTAATAAAAAAATAAACCTTGCGAACTATTTTATGTGCTTTACCAATATTATGTCTTTTAATTTTTAAAACAATCCATGGCAGAAATATGATTATTAAGCCTATTTTATAAGTAAGCAAAACAAAGAACCAAAACACTAAGTACTTGTCCAAGATCACACAGCTGATGGATCTCAGACTCCTCATCCGTAAAATGCAGATAAAGCACAGCACCTAGGGGCGTCGGAGATTCATGCACCCAGAAAGAGTATGTGCAGCTACATGGGGAAGGTGCCCATCTGCAGGACAAGGACAGGTTCAGAAGAAACGAACCTGCTGGCACCTTGATTTGGACTTCCACACTCCAAAACTGGAAGACTGTGAGAAAATACATGTATGTTGTTTAAAACACACAAGTAAATCAGTCATTATCCTGACCATGTCAGTATGTAGCTCCCTTTGCTTTCATAGATTTTCACTTGTATCCCTGACTTTATTGGAACAAAAGCCTCCTCGCACATAAGTGTCTCCGTTCACTGGTGCAGCAGACTCCCTGACACATAGTAGGCACTCAGGAGATGTTGAATGATTGGACAAGTTAAGCCCATCCCTCTGTGACCAGGCTCACCTAGCTCATCCCCAAACATGGCTTTCCTTAGGCACAGTTGTTGCTCTAGACCTCCACACATTCTTGGCCAGAAAGATGCTCACACTGAATGAATGAAGCCACATTGTTGCCCTTTGCCTTAGGTCTGAAGTCACCTCTTAGTCACCAAGCCATGAGCACCCTTAAAAGCCATAGTCCAGTGGACATTGACACTGATAAGCTATGGAGTAATCTTCTGTGGTGATAAAAAGATAAGGTGGAGGAAATGGAGTCCTTTCAATTACTAGGTAACAAACCGCTCTGAAGTGTAACAGCATAAAACAGAAGCTATTATTTCTCCCAGCGGTTGGGTAGTTTCCTGACCAAGGTGAGTCAAATGGCTGCCTCCGCTGGGAGCTGCCTAGGGCTGGAACATCCAAAATGGCGGCTTTTCTCAGGCTCTTTCTCTCCAGGAGATCTCTCATCTTTGTGGTCTAGTCCAAGATTCTTAACAGTCTGACAGCTGGGTTCTAAAAGGAAGACAAAGAAAGCTTTCCAAACTCTGGGAGCCAGGCTCAGAAGTCCCGGGACATTATGTCTATCACAGTCATTTAGACAAAATAGATGATGAGGCCCAACCCCATTTGAGGGGAGAGAAAATAGACTTATACCTCATGAGATGAGGAGGGATGTGTGGACCAAGATGGGAGAAACTATTGGTAGCCATATTGAAGAGTCTCCACCACACAGGGGGACGAGGAATAGTGGCAGGAGGCCCAGATTATCCTCATGCTGGTAACAAGCTATTAAGGGTTGGTTAGGCTGTGGTTTTCCTTCTCAGATGAGGTACCATGGGGGCTAAGGCTCCCCACTGTTTCTGGGAATGCCTGACCAGGACATTGGCACTGATTGGTTTTTAACCTCTCATTTTCCAGGTGACAACACAAAGGGATGGGGAGAGGTGAGCTGTGGCCAGAAACCACAAGTTAGCAGCAGGACCAGAGCTGCTGCCCCTGGTCAAAGCCCGGCTGTTGGGTACAAAGCTTGATTTTGCCGCCAAAAAGATTGGATGATTCATAACATCCCGGTAGGCCTCCCTTTCTTTTTTAATTTAATGTAGACAATATCTATTTTATAGGGAAAGTTTGATGATGAATAACTTGAATTCTGGAGCCAGACTGCCTGAGTTCGTGTCTTCCATTTACCATCCATGGTACCTTGTGAAAACTGCTCTCCATGCCTCAGTTTCCTTTTCTGCCAAATAGAGATAATAATAATAATAATAATAATAATGATAATAATAGAGATAATAATAAGATTTGTGTGGATTTGATGGCTTCAAAGATATAGAAGCATCAAGAATGGTGCCTGGCTCATGATTCAGAATTGAGGGCTATTATCTTTAATTATTAGAGTACTTGTATAAGAATTAAAATGAGCTTTACTTGCAAAAGCCCAACACATGCCTTGCACATAGTAAGCGGTGGCTGTTGCTGTTGGGAAACTGGGTCCTGCAGTTCATTTCTCTTACTAGGCTCACCCTTGAGGAACGTTGGAGCAAACAGTCTCACTTGCTTCTGTTTTTAACTGCTCTCTGAAAGCAGAGAATCTTATCTATTTGGCTTGAGTTGCTGCAGCTGTTAGCTGTGGGCAGGGAGATGCAGGAGCGGGCTGTGTCCTCCTCCCCTGCCTGTGTGTGGCACCCCTGGAGGAGAGCCCTTCACCAGAGGAGGCAAACCCCCTGGTTTCTTGGACCCAGACTCACCTCTGACTCCAGGTCTGTGTGTGATCGAATTCCTGCTTTGACAGTTACTGGTTTATTATCACTGTAGCTCGGCATCCTCATCTGATGATGGGAATAACAGGATCCACTTTGCAGCTAGCGGAAGAATTGAATGAGGCAATTCTTATTGGGACGGGTGCAGATGGGGGCACAGAGCACGTGGTCAGCGGCAGTTAGTGGATTCAGCTGTTGCCTTGTTAAATCCACTCGAAGGCCTCGCTCGAGCAAGTTCTCCTTGGGGGAGTCTTCCCGGCTGCCTCACAGGGCAGAGCGTGTTTCTTTTCCTGGCCTTTCTTTGCACCCTTTCAACTCCACATTTCTCTTCCAACATGGGCTTAGAGAGTTGTGAGGTGAGTCTTTTCCGTCGTGGTGAGTTCTGACCCGAGGCTTTGTGCTGGAATCACCGCTGTGCTTTCCTGGCCTGTCCCCCACACAGTAGGGCCAACATCCCTAACCTTGGTCACAGCTGTAACACAGCACCCTCCGTGAGCCAGAGGCTGCCCTCCCACGACTCCCTCATCTCTCTAAGGCTGCTGAGTGTGTTTACGTGTAGTAAACTACTGGAGGTCAGGAAGGCAAGCCGGGACTCCAGGGCGGGAGAAAGGGGAAAGGCCGCCAGCATCGCAGAGTTGTGCAGTTCTCAGCCCCTCCACATGCCGAGCCTCATTTCCACAGTAAAATGCAGCTCACTCTGCTTTCACTGTTGATGGGGACATTGGTGTCAAAATGCCTGGAAGACAGTAGGTCCTTCTCAAATACCACCCCAGCTACCCCTGTGGGCAGTGCAGACAGACACCATGGAATTCACTGCGAATGTTGCAGGTGCCCTAGCACAAGGCATCCTGCTAGAGACATCCCTAGAAATTTTGGCTTCTTCTTTGGTCAGGAGGTGGCCAAGTGCATCCAGGGACAGGTGGGAGAAGGCTGCTGCCCCGGAAGGGGAGGCACAGAGCAAGCTTCCTGCTTCTCTGTATATTACACAGTATTTCCCTGTCTGGAGATTTAAAAGAGACAAGGTGCTCCCCGCAGTGGTCACAGGGCAGGGAGAAAGGGATTTGAGAGTGGTGGCGTTAGTGTTCCCCATGTCTGCTTGAGCCTTGGGAAGCAGCTGAGCAGAAGAAAGGAAGTAAGAGAATCTCACTTGCAGAGCTCAACAGGGGGCCCCTGGCTGCAGGTCAGGAATCTGGTTTTGGAATGTGTCTGTTTCGGAAGTATTAGGTAGAAATAAACTTTGACAGTGATCCCTCATGGCAGTGAGAATCCGTGACAGACAGAATGAGGGCAGACAGGCTTCAAGGCAGAGGGAATCCTGGCAGGGAGAATCCATGGCAGTTGTAAACTGCACAGTTGCTGGTTCCTTCAGGCCTGGTGTCTGAAATGTACGTGTCCTTTTTTTCCCCTTAGCCTTCTGTGGGGATTTGGGATAATTTTTTGGGGGAAGGAAGAAGCCTTCAGAGGAGATTCTGGACTTCCTGCTTGAATTCAGGAAGGTGGTGAAGAGATTAATTGGGGGAAGAAGTGGAAAGTGCCCACGCTGGGCTCCGAGTCTGCAGAGCGCCTCCTACCAGGTGGCCTACCCAGCCCAGAGGGCATTGTGAAATGCCAAGGGAGATCGGTCTTCATTAACTGCTGTTGGAGGATTACAGGATGAATAGCTCCTTTGAAGGGAGGTGATAGCATGCTTCCTGAGCACGGAGGTGGTGAAGAACAGGCATGTCTGAGATCCAGTTGGGAGGCTGTTAGCCCACACCATGAGTCTGTCAAGGAGAGTAGTGGGACGAGATGACTGTGGAAGGCCTCAAGTGTCTCTCTGAGGTTTGAGTGCAACTCCTGCTACTTGGAGGAGTAGCTGTAAGGGGTTGGGGGTGGAAGAGCTGCGCTCTCCAAGATGGCTGCCAGTCAGGCGCCCTGAGCTGGGGGCCCTCAACTCCTCATCCACAGTCCGTTCTCGAAAGCAGCCAACGCGGCAGCTCCGGGTGGCCAGGATTGCGACACTAAATGTGTTTGTTCCCCCTGTTTGTGAAATACCTCAGAGGCACTGTTCCAGTGTCACCTGACTAGTTTTATGATTGCTACATGGTGCTGGCTCCATCCACCAATACTCAACTGGGGCCGACTGGTCCAAGATTTTGAGGCGTTTGTGGGTTTAGAACTTGGAGACCTCATTTTCCCTGGCAGGGAGAGGAGACTTTTACCTCCCTGACTTTAAATATCTCTTGTTGGGGTGGGAAGCAGCTCTGGTGGCCCAGAATGGCCACTGTGGCTATGGACCTGCTCTGTGTGAGCTTCAGTTCCTCCCAGGAGAGTCACCCCTGCCTTCCGGACTGTGACCCACAGCACAGCACCAAGCCAGAAGGTCGGGGGTCAGCTCACTCCCCAGGCTTCCTGCAAAGTTGGCCTCAGATTTTCAAATCATTAAAATTCAATCTTGCATTTAATTCTTGCAAATGAACTACTGTCAACCTCTGACTGAGAGCGGGAGAAGAAACCTGGCTAATATATAATGGAATGGGAAGGCAGAAGCCCCCAGAAATTGGCTCAGGAATTGGCTGTGGGTGCTCAGTGGCATGTGCTCAGCCCAGGGAGGGGGCTGCAAAGGCCAGCGGATTTATGAATCAGTTCCCTTACTGAGCTCCTTTCAGAGGGAAAAATATGAAGGTGAGGAAGGGAAGGACTGGTAGTGATTGAGTGTATATTCGGTGCCAAGCCCCAAGGTCTCTCTCGGTGTTATCCCCTCAACTGCAGAAGGAGGGAGCATCACCCCCAAATAACGAGCACCTAGTCCATACTTGCTGAGTGAGGATCACATGTTAGGTGCTGTCCTAGGAACTAGAACGTGTGAGGAGACTGAGGCCAGGGTAGGATGGGGCTGGTGCGTGCTCCCACCTCCCCTTAGGCTTATTCCAGGGCTGTGCTATTCCAGGATGTGCACTAACACTGACATGCACTCACACATGTGTGAACACACAAGCAGAAACAGACGTGCACACTCACACCATGCAGATCCACTGTGCTCACACCAGATGGACACACTCAGACACGCCCACAGGTGCATGCACACGCGCCACTCTAACACACCCACACCAGTACACGAGCACTGGCACACACACACACACATCACTCCATTTATGGGGAAACTGGGCTCACACCTCTGGAACTCTGAACACTTTGAGGCAGCAGTAATGCCAAGACAACCTCAAAGCCTCCATTCTCCTTCTGTCTCTCCCTTCCTCTCTCCTTTTCTCCCTCCTGCCTTCCTCCCTTCTCTCCTTTTCTTCCTATTCTGTGACCAGATCACTCTTCCCCTCCTTTTCTGGCCATGATGCTTTAGGAAAATTTTAGGGCTGCCAGACACAGGTTGAAACAGCCAACCAGAGAGTAAAGAGAGTCTGTAGGAGCTCCAGAGCCGAAGTGATTGGCTGCCGCCACAGTTGTCAGGCTCTCTCTCCCCGAGGCAGCTGCACGCTCCCCCTGCCCTCTGCCCCTTTGACTGCAGGCGCGTTCACGTCAGGCCCCTGCACCGGGCTTCCCCAGCCTTAGGACCTACCTCCCCTGCCCTCCCAGGCATGAGCCGAGTGACTGTGCAGGGCTCTTCCAAACGTTTCATCACTCTGTGGGGTGGAGATCGCCTATTTCTGTATTTCAACATTTTGTTTCCACCTGGGATTGCATCTGCCAGCTCGCAGGTGAAGTAACTTCCAGTGCTGGCACATGGAGCCTTTGCCGCATGAGGACCTGTGCTCTGGTCCTCCCAGGGCCCGTGGGGCTTGGACAGTCCAGCCATAGGCCTTAGTGGCCCCCAGGAGGTAGGCAGGCATGCTGGGTTTTGGCTAATCTCACCCGTGTAGGCAACTCAAACTCTTCAGAATATTTCAACATCCCAGCGACTCAAGGTGGGGGTGGTGGAATCCGAGAGACTTTGGCAACTCCTGTTTCTCAGTCCCAAGTGCCAACAGAGTCACCTTTCCTAGCTCATCTGCTTTTCTTCGGTATCGGGGACATCTCTGTCTCTGCGTGCATCTAACACACCTATGCCTGTACCAGGAAGGGATCCTGGAAGTTATCCTGGGGACCCTCGGACTCCGGGTCCAGCAGTCACCCTCTCCCTGGCTGTTTGGCTGCATTGGCCAATTGGAGGCGTTTACTGGGAGCAGGCTGCTGAGTTTAAGCTTCATAAACAGTTCCCAGGCTGTGGGACAGCATATTCTGCAGACAGCCCAGGAACGGCTTTAGAGCCATGTACTTTGTCTGGGGTGAGTTCACTGTAACCCACGTTTGCACACGTCTCACTGCAGAGGATTCAG